ACCGAGATGTTTTGGACTGTAATTTGTTTGGGTCAATAGTAAAGCTAAAGTAAAAGAATGGATTTTGCAATAAGATAATGACCCTAAACATACGACTCAATCTATGAAAAATGACTGAAAACAATTGTCAATGCACTTGAATAGACATCAGAGTTTCCAGACTTGAATCCAATAAAGAATTTGTGGTGTTTATTAAAAATCCAACTTAATAAAAGAGCTCTGAAAAACATCCTGGACCTAAAGAGAATATGAAAAGAAGAATGGAGTCAAATACTAACGGAAACTTGTAACTCATTAATTAAAAAATTACAGAAAGAGACTAATTACTGTTGAATTGAGTAAGAAATATGCTACTAAGTATTTAAATAGGTTTTATAATTTCATGCAAATACTTTTTTTTTGTCTACAAATATTTTAATTTCATTAATATAACAATTTTTTTCTAATTTTTTTTTTTGCATATTGCAGCATAATGTTATGGTATACAAATATTGATTGCATTATAAAATTCTTTTATGTTAAATAAAAAAAAAATTCATGATGTACAAATATTTCTTTAACCCCCCCACCACCACCACCACTATCTATCTATATATATGTATTTGTCAAAAATTCTGAAAGCCTTTGTATCAATTTACTCTAAAGTAAAACTTTTTTCCCAATTAAAAATATTTATTAATCAAATTATTGATATCACATACCTTATTCAGTAACCCTCTATTTTGAGTGGCTCTTGGGCCTTATTTAGCTAAAACCTAATTTTTACATCAATACAGTTAATAGATCAAGCATTCAGCCCTTTAACTTCAATCACGTTTTATCTTGCAAAGGTAGATTTTGTCATCAGAGAAACATGTCATAATGGAAGTTTTCCTAATTATTATATATATATATATATATATATATATATATATATATATATATATATGACAGTTTTTTCTTAAATATATAAATATATTTCTATAAATAGGCATCCATTTATCTTGCAAGATAAAGGTAGAACCCTGTTTGGTCAGAATTCAGGCCTGTGTGAGGGCATTGGAGGCTGTGCACACCCCAGACCACATGTTCCTCTCCCACTCACCATACTGACAAGATCCAAAATAATACAGGGCGTCACATTTGCAGGAGTTGGTGGAAAGTTGTCAATGTTGACATCCAATTGCCTTTTGGCGGGGGGGGGTCCACTTTATTTTCTGTCTGGTTTTACTTTTTTTGCCTTTTCCATTTTTGGATATGACTGCAAGGTTGCTGAAGAGTAAAATCAGTTTTCTTTCCCCTAGATAGATTGCTTTCCTATGTTGCTGAGTTCCATCTACCAAAAGCAGCTGGTTATAAGACGCCAGTTGTCCGCCTTTGCCCATTCTCTGATTTGGAGCTAGACTTAATTGTCAGAAGCTGTTTGAAACATATGCCATGGAAGCATTTTATAGACAGTGACCGCACTATCACCCCCAACTATGACAACCTTTGGAACATATATATAGTGTATGGATCTAAATATTATACACATTTTTTTTTATTTTAGAAGCTTCCAAAAACTTATCTGAAGTTATTTATCTTTGATGGAACAATTTTGTTTTTTCTTTTCTCTCAATCTGCCAAACATGCCCCTTGCTAAATTTTTCACCCTTTTCCTTATCCTCTTCGGAGTTGTAGCACCTGTTAGGATCCCACCCATGGGTAAATTGTGAACCCCACACAACTGGAGTTAAAACACTAAGAAAGTATAAAAATACATTTTAATATTAAAAAAAAATTACCAAAGCTCCCCCAAAAATTAAATGACCCATAAAGAGTTGATATGCTGTTAAACAACCAAATCAAACTTTATCCACTTGGAGCAATCACTCTTTTCATTTTCTCTCTCACTTGTCTTTCTTTCCTTTTTGACACATTTCTTTTTTTCATAACTCTTGATTCCCCCCCCACCTTCTCATGCCAAGAATGAGCTGCATATTCTTGTCCAAACACATAAGAAATATTTCACTGTTTCCTTGTAAAGGCCTTGATGTGAAAAGGAACAGCTGATAGGAGTCTCGTACATCTTCAAAAGAAACAAAAACAATCGACAAAAGATTAACAACTAATATGTTGTACTGTTCATGAGTGGAGGTGGAGAAATTGACATCTGTTGGTGGTTGGAGGGGGTTTCAAGAAAGGTATGTAAGTAACACTGAGGAATGCCATATCTGAATTGACATTAAAAATGATCTAAATCGGGTCAGTCAGTAAAAACGAGTGCTGACATGTCCCTAGGTTGGAGGATACATATAAACATATATTCACGTGTGTGTGTGTGTGTGTGTCTACATTTTTATATATATATATATATATATATATATATATATATATAATTTTTAGAAATTAGGATAGAAAAATCTCAAAGTTTTTAAGTTTGACAAATGGCAACATTTCATGAAAATTTGATTGAAATCTATTTTCAATCAAATCTATATTTTTATAATTTTTTTTTTTTTAATATATACACACACACACACATACCTCCACAAAAAAACAGAAAAATGATACCTAGGGTTTAAAATGAAGTTTTAAAAATGACAAATCATTCTTGAAGCTTTTATTTTAAATTTAATATTTACAATATGCAAAATGCTTTGCTGTATTTCAAAAACTAATTTAAATTAACTTTTTTTTTTTTTTTTTAAATATCTAAATAACACCCTTTTTAGTTGTCTTTCATCACAATGTAATTCTCTTTATTAAAAATTCTTCCACAAATAAAATATACTTTTGTGAAACTTTATTTGAGGAATATTAGCAGATTTAAACTATAATTAATCTGATTTGAAACAAATATTATTTACTTTAAGTTTAAAATATCACAGGCATGTGTTTTTAACCCAACAGCATGATCACAGCTAATGTTGTTCTATGGAAATTTTATCTGTCATAAAACATCATGCTATGCTCTTTTTAGGGAAAAAGCAGAAGTACATATATATACACACACACACAATCACAAGATAAAAATATAGTTTTAAGGTATGGTATATTTATGAATTAAAGTTCTTGATGTCAGGAATAGAGCATATGTAAATAAAAAAGTTGTCAATGGTTCCATTTTATATATATATATATATATATATATATATATATATATATCACTTTGAAAGTGTCACTCTGTTTTTCATTGGTTCATAGCTTTATATCTTAGCTGTGAAATTTTTCTTAGTGTTTGGTCAAAATATGAATTTGTAGCCTGGTGTTTCTGAGTATGCATCTATTTTGAGAGATGGTGAAAATTTGGTCTTTTTGTTAATTCATCACTCATTAATTTTTTTATTAAAAAAAAATAGTGTCCATAATATATTTTATTCATAAAATTAATTAAAACTTTTTTAATTAAATAATGTTTTAGTTTTTATTGCATGTTTTATATTAGGATTCAGAGCAGATTTTCTGTAACTGGAGGTCCTGTGTAACAAAAGCAAAAAAAATTGAAGACATAAATTCACCAAGTACTTGTGCTTATAACTAATATAAACATTAAGCTCTACAAAAATAAATTTCTTGAAATTTCATAAAATTTAAATAATTGGGGAGATAACAGATATAAAAACATTTTTATCAAGATGATTTAAAAGAGAAACATTTCTAAAATAATTTCATTTGTGTACAAGTCCAGAAAGTTTCATTAAAATCTGACAATCATCTGATTTGTGTAAGAATTTCCAAATCAGTGTGTTCTCACCAAAAAAAAGACACTAAATTTTCCCATATATATATATATATATATATATATATATAATATTTGTAGCTGAATGGTTAGCAGCACATCAGATCAGATGATGGTTCCCTTTGGGGGTTACAGGTTCAATTCCTGTCAGAGAAGTACATATTTTTCTACAAGATTTCTCGAACATTCAGGCAGGTAAATGTAATTAATACTGTTTAATTAAAAAAGCCAAGCATTAACTTAAATAAATTATATCTTTACAAATAACATATAAACAGAAAATATATTAAATAATTGTTGGACTTAATCCATTTCATGATATGTTATCATTATTTACATTAAGATATGTTTCATGAGGAGATAAGATCGATCAAGAAAAAAATGTTTACTGACTGCTCCACCCACCTGTCTGCTTCTTTTATATGTATGTCCCTTTCTTGACACACACACAGTCTCTCTCTCTCTCTCTCTCTCTATATATATATATATATATATATATATATATATATATATTTTCTATTTATACGTTATTTTTATAGATACAATGTATTTAAGAAAATGCTCTGTCTTTAATTAAACATTTTAATTTATTTATTTGCTTGAATGTTTGAGGTACATTTTTTAGAAAATATGCATTCTCCGACATGAATTGAAAATCTTGTATTCCTCTGAAAAAATCATTTGACCTGATGTGCTAGATTATTCAGTTACAGAGAAACGTCTGGTTAACAAAGTCTGAATTACTGTTTATAAACACACTCTCTTGACGGTTTCCATATAAGAATACAGATTCGATTCCTGTTGGAGAACACATATTTTCTTTTTAAAATTTCTCAAACATTCAAAATCGGTAAATATAATTAATACTGTTCAATTAAAAAGCAGATTTAACTTAAATAAATTATATCTATAAAAAAAAAAGAAAACAGAAAAATATATTAAAATAATTGTCAGACTTAATCCATTTCCATTTATATATATATATATATATAGTATTTATTATTTTATTATGTTCAATTCAGTCCCTCTTTTATTTGGTTATATATATTCAGACAGACTTTTGAAGTTTTTGAAACAAAGATAGATTTATTGATTTCTTCTTTTATGATTTATCAACCTTTTGCAGGTTATTTAAAGCCAGAAAATATTTTCAGATTCTATGAGCTTTTGGGAGATAATAATGGTTTACTTCTACAAAACATACTATTTAATCCATAACTGGGGAAGAAGAGGTAGATTCATATCTTTCCTCACTGATATTTGTGTGTAATTGAATATAATGAACCTAACTAGAATTAGAACTTGGTATTCCCAAGCAGTCACCCATCAAGTTACTGACCAAGCTCAACATTGCTTAACTTCTGTGATTTTGTGAGAACTAGTGTTTCAACATATGGATGGCCATAAACCTTGGGAAGAACGAAATATTTATATTTTTAAACTAAGTCTAGCAAAATGCTTATTTTTTCTTTTTAAACATCAGTTCTTGATATCGCCATAATTTACAAGTTGCCCATCTCTTTTGCAGGACACCGTGGCAATACAAGCAATCAAACACCTGCGGTCAAGCGTCCAACAGTCCGCAGGGCCAGTGCTCCCAGTGCCCAGATCCTTGCTGACCACATCAATCAATGAATTTAAAAAAAACAAAATTGGTTTCAATTGCTGGCAGTAAGCAAGGTTTAATAAAAGAATTAATGAATTTTCCCCGATGTGAATCACCTATAGGTGGACGGTCCAGCAAGAAATCAAGCGGTCAGACCAGTTCGGCTGATTGCAGCCAGCATTCCAGTACTGAAAATCTCCACAGAACCCCGTGCCAGTCTCCAGCAAGACATTCATCTAAGATGTTACCCCCAGCATCTGTGGGTAAGGCACCCACATCGCCAGCTAAACGAGCTGCTTCTCCTGCTTCAACTTCTTCCTTGCCTTCGTCCAGTCTTCGGTGAGAAAAACATTTTGTGATGACATCTTCTTTGTTAGAGTGACGTGATTCTAAATTTTTAGGAACTTGTTCCATCTTTCCTATCCCAAATTTTTTTGTCTATGATAAATCTGAAATCATTTTGGCCTTTTTTATTTTTTATTTTTTTTTTACATCACTAAATTTTTTTGTCAATGAGTATAAAGGCCAAATAAATTTAAACCAGTTCTGAGAATTTGTGTAATTTTAGTAAATAGATTCATTCATATTATTTTGAACCTCTTGAATGCCATCACTGCACTTTATCAAGTTTGTTTGTAAAATGTGTACCCTACTCTTTGGTTGGTCAGTCTTTAATTTTACAAAAGAAACAGCAAACTACTTAAATGGCATATCATTCTCATGAGTTATTTAATGCCGACAAGATTTTTGGATTTTTATGAATAGAATATGTATTCTTTTTAAGAAATCAGTTTGTAGATCAGGTTTTATTTGATATATTTTTGTAAAGAGGGTTGCTGTCATTTAATGCCGACAAGATTTTTATTGCTAGTAATATTTTTTTTTTTTTTTTTTTTACAAAATGTATTGCTGATAAAAATTTCTTTAAAAAAGTATTTCTGGTATTAAAACCTATTTTTATACTTTCATAGTGTTTTAACCCCTTTTGGGAGGGGGTAACTATTTGCTCATAGCTGAGACCCTGACAGGTGCTATCGCCCTGGGTCAGGGTGGACTTGGGAACACCAGCAATTAAGAGGTGGTTCCACACTCCTCGAAACCTCCTGATCAGAGGCCTTGCTGTTGGATGTAATTTATCGTCTTACCCAGGAGAGTTGTATAAATGGATAAGAAAACATGGACTGGTAGAAACAGTAAAGGGACAAATATTACATTGTTTAGAGCTACAAACAATAGAAAGTTGTGGTGGGGCATGTTTACCCACTTCCTAAAGGGGCAGCGCAAACCAGTGAGTAAGTTACCTTACAAACTTGTATAAATAAATGGCAGAAAAGAAACGGAAGGGGACAAACGATAGGAGAGTTACAAAAGATTGGATGTTGTGGAGAGCCGTGTTTTCATTGGGAAATGTTGACCATCATTTACAAGACTGTGTGCCATAAAATGTTTATTTTTCAAATCCCAGGTTTGGACATAAAATTTGGAGGCCCTCTTCACCATGCTCACTGCCAAATGACAGAATATCCTCTTTTAGAAATTTGCTCTCTCTCTATGCTGCTCTAGTACATATTTTCTAACAATGCTATTTCATCTCTAGGGGGAATCTCCATTAACAATTCTGGCTACAGGCACATTCGCAAAAAAATATATTGTCTTTGTAAATGTCCTTGTTTTCTAACACTTTCGCTCCAGCCCCACAACCTCCAACATCTTACTCTCTGGGTTGAGGTGTCTACTTGGTCCTAACCGAACTTAAATGGAGTCAACGTTTTCCCTGAGCATCCGTAAATCATTCGACCATTCCACTGGTTTAATCCTATATCTGCCCACGTTGTGTTTGGTTTGATCCAGAAAGCAGAAGTGATGTTCATCCATTCACGGCCAACTGAAATTTTGAATTGGCGGCTGGGGAGTCTTTAAGAAATTTAGAATGCAGCAAAAAAAAAAAAATAATATCTGCAGAAAGCCGGACAACCAACTACTCAATGATTGAATTGTTAATGTCTTTTATATAGCAGAAAAGAATAGCATAGAAAAGAAACTGGTTACAGAACAGAAAAGTAATTGACGTAAAAATGCATACACCGGATTCTGGAGAGATGAGAGTGTGTTATTAACATAACTTGTTGTTATTCGTCTCATAACAATATACAACTATTGCAATAATTTTGAATAAGATTTTTTCAAATTATAAATAAAGTTTATAGTGATGTTCCTCCTTAGCAGTAGTAACAGTAGTAGTAATATTCATTGTAGCAGAAGCAGTGGTACTTATATCAACAGCACATGTTAGCATGAAAGAATTCCAATCTCTGATATCAATTTTTCTCTCCTTCTTCAAAGTCTCCAACTCAACTCTCCACCAATCTCTAGCCCAACTCTTGCTTGGGCTGATTCTCTTCTGTCTCTCTCTTCTGTCTCTCTCTTTTTCAGCATAACTATGCATTTATATAGAAAAATCTGGCTGGTTACAACTGAACCATGGCCCTACTACTTCGCACATGATTATCACGGGGTTTTGGCTGTTTCAACCAAAATCATGTGAATTCTAATGGTCCTCCTTGCTTACTCAGCTCTATTTTAAGTTTTAATCAATAAAAATTATTTCAACCATTTCCACTGTCTGCTAATGACCCAGTTCCAGTGGGTACAGCTCCCGCCCTAGATCAGATTTCCAATCAGTAAACAAGTGCTCTGAATAATTTCTCTAGTCCAAATCTACTCCAATTTAACTAAAAAAAAAATATACGTCTGTGTGTGTGTTTCCCCAGACTCTCTCTGTCACAGTTTAACACTACATCACCATTATATAGGAGTTGATGTGTCATAAAACCACATTCAGAATCAGAACCTTAGAGAGGGAATTAAAGTAGCTACCGCCACAAAAAACTGAAAAAAAAATACATACCTAAGATTTAAAATTAATTTTTATAACTGAAAAATATCTTTTGAAGTTTTTATTTTAATTTCTAGCTAATAGATTAAATTAAATATTTGCAATAAGCAAAATCCTATGCTGAATTTCAAAACAACTTTAAATTGACTGGAAGGAGATTTTTCTTTTTTTTTTTTTTTTTTCTGATTAACGCATATTTAGTCATCTTACCTCACAATGTAATTCTCTTGATTAAAAAATCTTCCAAAAATAAAATATACTTTTCTGAAACTTTATTTGAGGAATATTAACTGATTTAAACTATAATTAATCTGATTTGAATAAAAATATTATTTACTTTAAGTTTAAAATATCACAGAAATGCATTTTTTAACCTGACAGTAGCCATGTTTATGTGTTTGACAAGGTGAAGACAGACATAATGTTGTTCTAAGGAGACTTTATCTGTAAAAATAATTGAAGCAAATGATATGAGTGCATTTTTTATTTAATTTTTAAGTATTCGGTAATCTTAAAACTTTAGGAAAATATTCTCCGTAATGTTTTATTGAATTTTAGGTAGTTTGGCTTTAAATTTACTATAATCATCTTATTTTCTAATAATGTTGTGTATCGTTGACTGTACTTACAAATATAATACGTTTTTTTTTGCAATAATAAAAAAAATTCAAAATTATTTTTAAAATCTTGATTTTTGATGATTTCTATTAAGCCTTTCCATTTATGATTAGTAAATATAGTTTTCACTTAATAATAAATATCATCTAAAAGGCTGAAATTAATACAGAATTTTAAGAGATTTAAAAAAAATTTTCTCATTAAAATTTTTAAAAAGTGAAAACAATTGTAAAAATTCATTATACATAAAAAATTTTCTTAAAACAATAGTGTCCTTAATATATCTTATTCATAAAAGCTGTTCTAATTAAATAATGTTGTAGTTTTATTGCATTTTTTATTTTTCGATTCAAAGCGGATTTTCAGTAAATGGTGTTTCTGTTTGATAAAAACAAATTGATTTAAATTCTCGAAGGACGCCTGCTTTTAACTAATATAAAATTATTTGAATTTTTTCAAGAAAAGAATTTCCAAAACAGTGTTTTTCACCACAAAAAAGATGCTAAAGAAAAAGAAAATTTTTAACCTAAACTTTGAATGTGCTAGAAAAGATTAGAAAATTTGATAAAATAATCAAAAAATACTTTGGTCGTTCCTCTTAAAAATAACATAAATATTTTGATGGTAAAACTTAGCTTTTATCAAGTTTGGTGCCTTTTTCATCATGCTATACTGTTTTTAAGTACATTTTTGGAGGCACCTAGATTAAAGACTATGAGAATCTACTTGCAAATCCTTGTTTGGCACTACATGACCATTATATAGGAGTCAGTGTGCCATAAAAGCACATTCAGAATCAGAACCTTGGAGATGGGATTAAAGACTGAGAATCTACTTGAAAATCCTTGTTTGAAACTACATGACCATTATATAGGAGTCAGTGTGCCATAAATTCACATCTTATAGAAATGTTAATTAGAAATTATATTGCACAATTTTTCCTCACATGTTTTTATTCCTCTGTAATTCTCTTTTTTTCTTTTTTTTCTTTTAGATCCTCGGCGTCCTCATCTCTTAGTGCTTCTTCAGAAAAGCTGAACAGTTCCGAGTCGAAGTCGTCTGGAAGTAAACTGGACATGGATCAGATCAGTACAATGACCCTGGAGCAGTTTAAAAACTTGCTCAACAACCAGCTGATCACGACAGCAAGAGAACGAGCTCCAAGTATTGGTTCTGCAGTCGAGTCATCTTCTCGTCCGACAAGACAGATGGGTGGTACCTCAAATAAACTTCAGAATCCCTCCACAAAGAACTTTAACCCAAATCTTAATGGACAAGGACGTGGCCCAAGGCAGACCCCTGGTCGTAGATCTGCTGATCACAGTCCTGATGTTCACAGACGGATGCGGTCACCATCACCCAAACTGTACAGTCAACCAGGAGAGAATGCTGGTCTTGAGGGATCCAGTGGTGGCGTAAAGCCCAGGGGGAAACGATCTGGGTTAAGTTTCCTTCCTAGGCCAAGCACACAGTCTTCATTACAGCTTAATGGAGAATCCAAGATACCTATGAAGAAATTGGGAGATACAACTGTAACTCAGGTTTCACGCCCGGTGACTCCGTCTAGTGAGACCAGAGCCCAAAGATCCCTACCAAGCACCCCCAAGCAGGAACGGAAATACAACACAAATCCTCGCCATTTAATAGAAGGAAGCAACATCAAAAAACAAAACAGTTCTACAAAACGCGGGGCCATCATGCAGAGGGCCAACACCCCTGGCCCAAGATTACACACCCCGAATAAGATAGAAACTCGACGATCATCCACTCCAGGACTCCGAGAGTTGCAGATTTACTCTGAATCTGGAAATGCAAATTTAACTGACGATACCCAATCATCAGCTGATGAAGATGGTGGCGGATTGAAAACTCCGACTCCTGGAAGACGCCATGGCTCTCGTTCCCAGAGTGGATTATCTTCTCGCTCATCATCTGCACAAAGTCTTAGTTTGACAGTAAAGGGTGATATTCCCATTGAGGACTCTCGAATGACATCTCATCCAACAGGTTATGCAGAACGATGGCGCCGAAACAAACGGTCATCATCAGCAGTTAGAGTAAAAGCTAATACAGGCAGCCCAGATACGATTACTATATCACGAACTCAAAGTGGGGGTCATAGTGTAGTATTGGGTAAGGCCTCTGCTAGTGATATACGTGGTGGTCTGGCCACAGGACGGTCGTCGAGAAGTGATCTGGGTAGGGACATGTCTGAAATTGTTAGAAGAGCACGTTGTACTGTAAAAAATACAACTACACAAATTGCCCGTTCACAAAGTGCTGACCGGTTTGCTCAGCGCCAGCGGTCAAGCAGCACTAGCAGTGTTGAAGATAATGATGAAATGCCATGGTGTAAAGATCACCCACAGCAAAGACGTTTATCAGAGCTTGGAAACAAAACCTCTGCTGCTGCTGCACGGAGCAATAGCCTTAAATATGAAAGAAGTGGACAATCTAGACGTGGTGGATCCATCACCCCTAATTCAATTGATATCTGTGATTTTGACCTCAGCTCCCGGCCATTGGATGAAATTAAGGCAGCTTTGAATCCTGTTAATGGCATTGTACCCCAGGTATCCGACCCTAATGAGTTAGATGCTCCTCCGGAGGACCCAGAAATGTATGAACAAATGGAGAAGCTGTTCGAGGCATACCGTCAAAAGGAGCTACGTGATATGGTAGAAGCAACTGATCGTAACAAGGACTCGTTAGCCATTCCATCAGACAGGCAGGATGATGATGACGATTCAAGAGGGAATAATACGGACGTGTCATCCCTAGACAGTAATATAAATCTCCCAGTCAGCGGCCACTCATCTCAAGCCGGATCTCGACGGTCATCTCTCCAGAAGACGTCCGATGCAGAATCTATTGAAAAGGTATCTGGGTCCTTGAAAGAGCAAAATAAAGCACAAATGCGTCAAAATAGTGGCAGCAGCCGGATCCCTACTTCTCGGATTCCTGGGCTTCGCCTATGCCGGATCCCAACACCGAAATCAGGCAGTGGAACCAGTAACAGTGGCATTCCGCAATCAACAACTGGTCACCAGAGAAATGGCGAGAAGACATACCCTGATATGGATTATGCTGATGATAACAATGCTTCTGCCAGCGACTGTTACGAGTTCTTAACCAGTGAACAAGTCAGTGACAATTCTCGGCGTACATCATACAGTGACGAAAGTTCTGTATCGACCTCGGACACAAGCAATGTCGGGCAGCGATTGGGTTCGGAGACCTCTGTCCCCAAAGTTGCTAAGCCTCTTACCACTGGTCGGCAACGGCTTATCAGTAGAAGATGTAACAAACCTGAAAACCGATCTGACAAATCCAAATTGGTCAAAGCAGTGTCTAAGTGTGTCTAAATTATAAACTAATCTTGACCAATACGGCCATTCTCTCTTGTCCTCTAATGCAAGAACAATAAAAAAAAAACAATTTTGAAAAACAGTTCTTATTGGTAATGATAAGCATACAAAAAAATGAGTTGTGGTTATAAGTGGGGGATCAATTTTCTATTCTAAACAAGTTGTAAACTGGACCCCAATTTTTGGTTCTTTCTCTCCCGTTTGCTAATCTAAGAAGGATGAAAGATATTTAAAGAAATATATTTGCTGAAAATTGGAATTTGATTAAGAAACCAAAATATACAAAAATCTGAACGTGGTCATAAAATGGGGTATCAGTTATCTATTCTAATCAAGTTGTAAACAGGACCCCAATTTTTGGTTCTTTCTCTCTTGTTTGCTAATCTAAGGATGAAAGGTATTTAAAGAAATATATTTGCTAGGAATTAGAATTTTATTATGAAACCAAAAATAAAAAAATTGAATGTGGTCATAAAGTGGGGTATCCATTTTCTATTCTAATCAAGTTGTAAACAGAACCCCAATTTTTGGTTCATTCTCTTTTGTTTTTTAATCAAAAGAATGATGAATTCAGAGAAACATTCTTTTTGATAGTATTTAATTAAAATGCAGGAAAATACAATGTGACAAGATTGTCTATTACTGAAAGAATATACGAAACAGAATCTTTAGCTGTTTTGTAGTTTGCCTTCCTATTATGAAGCAAGATATTTTTTGGTATTTCTGGAAGCTACATGTTAAATAATTCTGTATTGTCTATCAGGAATCACTCATACTTTGAAAGAAAATAAAAAAAATGATGTAGGTATTTAGAAAATTCTTTGACGTATTAGTTATATTATCTTTTCACCATGGCTACCCATTCTGACATTCCAAGGCCATGCATCCAAACTGACACAAGTCATTAATATAGAATATGTTTGGGAGATTGGCATTCATTTCAATTTGGGCAGCCTACCAGGGGATTTTGCCTAACACCCACTAGATGGCATTTCCTAAAGAGCAGTATGACATAAAAGCGTACAGACTCTCTCTGTCCTTTCCATTAAGATGCTGAAGGGACAAGACATTTCTCATTTCCCTTCCATGTTGGCTTCTTAGTTTCCAGCAAACCATGTTTTGCATATGACACCAGTAAATATATCACTTCAACAATTAATAGTGCTACAACCAACTAGCAACATGCTGAATAATACATTTGTAATTTATAGCACTAAATCATATTTGTCTTCAACAACTAGAAATCCCGCTACAGGTTGTAGAATGACAGACTGAACGAATAGTGGTAAGAAAGAAAACTGAAATGAAGATGAAAGAAATCCCAGTCAGAAATTAATAATGGCTGACAAGGATTCATCTAATCAAATTTCCTGATAATATTACTAATACTAATAGTGGAAATGACAGTTGAAATTAAGATGAATGAAATACTAGTTAAAAATTAATAATACCTGACAATGCTTCATTTATTAATAAAATAATAAAACTTTAAGATAATATTACTATCAATGGCTTTCAAGTGATGGTCTGATGAGTTGCTATAAAAATAACCAAAAGTATAATGAAAGGAATACTGTAATAATAACATCTAATAATAATATAACTAAATTTTCCATGTAAAAAAAAAAAAATGTTTATCTGCTTATGGACTTCCATCAAATAAATATTAACCAAATCAAGTGTATATGGTTTGCTAGTGATTCTTCCAATATTCGATCTGCTTCTTGCAAAAGTGGGAGGGGGTTCTCACTCTCCTCTCACAGACCAGGCATTTATAGAACTACTTGTTATCTGGTTGTGTTGTGTGCATATATCCTAAGTTCAACTGGGCTTACTTCCTGTTTATGTTAGTACACTTGCTGACCTCCTTTGAGGCCCAATTCTGCACTTGGTGGCTACAAGGTTACCTTCTAGGTTCACTCTGTGTTCCGAGGTCTTTTACCTTTTTGATGTAGCACCAAGTACAACTTACTTTGTGATATCTTGGGGTGAACCCAGTACATATAGGGGTCACCACAGATCAACTCTTCTTAGATCAAAGGTTCCTGATGGACATTAAACTCTATTCAATTCTTTGTTATTTCCTGACAGGAATCACCTACTACAGTAAAGACTGAGGGATGGTTATGACAGGTCATTACAAATGTGTTATGAAGGAAAGGTAATAGCACCACGCACGGACTTTTATCAGAGAATGGACACTTTGTTATACTCTTCTGTAATTAGATCCCTTTCTGATTCACTCTACATATCAGGCCGTTTTTTGTTTATCCGCTTATGGACTTCCATCAAATAAATATTAGCCAAATCGAGGGTATATGGTTTCCTGGTCATTCTTCCAATATTCGATCTGTTTCTTGCAAGAGTGAGAGGGGTTCTCACTCTCCTCTTGTAGACCAGGTGTTTATAGAACTACTCGTTATTCGGTTGTCTTGTGTGCATATAAAAGTTAAGAAAGCAAAAGCCAATTAAAAGAAGAAAGCAACCCGCCCCCCCCAAAAAAAAATGAAATAAAAAGTTATCTTCTGTGCAGAGGCTCCAAGCATCACATCCAGTCCATGGAACAAATCCCACAAAAATGTTAAATACAATAGCCAATCGCGAATGTCACTGCAAAAAAAAAATACTTGGGCCTTGGGGTCACCAGATTTGCTTAACGGAAACCCTCATAAAATTACTGACACATTACTAGTTGTTATAAACGACGCATGGTTGTAAAGGAAAGAACGTACAATGAATCAAATTTCAACAGCGTCTATTGATCAATTTCCAACATACATACATAATGCTCAATACCAGCATATGTAATTGTGTGAAAAGAACTTGTCTGGTGTGCATTCACCAGTATAAGTTTGTGAAATACATGCAGTTGATAGCATTGAGTATTTGTTGAAAATTGACCAATACACTCTGTTGAAATTTTAATCTTTGTTTGTTCTTTCCTCTGCAACCATATACTGGTTATGAAACCAGGTACAAAGGGCTTCCTTTAAGCAAATCTAGTGGCCACTAAGCTCAAGTCTTTAGTGGCAACATTCGTAATTGGCTATTATTGTATTGTAGAATTTTGTGAGGATTTGTTTTGTGGAGCGGATGTGATGATAGGAGCTCCTTTTTTGTGTGTTTTGCTTTCTCAGTGCTCACATCTGGCCCGATGTAGAGTGAATCAGAAATAGATCTAATTGCAGAGGAGTATAACAACTTTTGCTAGGCTTTAGCACGGCTCAATTAGTTGCAGATATATTTTAAAGGGTGAAAACTGAAAGGTATATTGTGTGTAGTAAAATTGTAACTGATTTACCTTTTAAAGAAAGATTTCATCAGATTTTGAATATCATTTGTTTCAAGATGAAACTGATGAGAATGAAATGTGAAACTTAATTACATCTGGAGGAAGTAAAATTCATTAAAAAAGGATCAGGGGAAAAAAATAAGTGTTACAAAACCTTTCTCTTGTTTTTGGATAGCTCTCTCAGTCTCCTGATATCTATCTTGAACATTGTCTGATTTGCTTTCATATCTATCCAACTGTTTCTGTCAATCTATCTGTTTCTCTCTATGCACTTCTTTCTATCTGTTTCTCTCTATGCACTTCTTTCTATCTGTTTCTCTCTATGCACTTCTTTCTATCTGTTTCTCTCTATGCACTTCTTTCTATCTGTTTCTCTCTATGCACTTCTTTCTATCTGTTTCTCTCTATGCACTTCTTTCTATCTGTTTCTCTCTATGCACTTCTTTCTATCTGTTTCTCTCTATGCACTTCTTTCTATCTGTTTCTCTCTATGCACTTCTTTCTATCTGTTTCTCTCTATGCACTTCTTTCTATCTGTTTCTCTCTATGCACTTCTTTCTATCTGTTTCTCTCTATGCACTTCTTTTCTATCTGTTTCTCTCTATGCACTTCTTTCTATCTGTTTCTCTCTATGCACTTCTTTCTATCTGTTTCTCTCTATGCACTTCTTTCTATCTGTTTCTCTCTATGCACTTCTTTCTATCTGTTTCTCTCTATGCACTTCTTTCTATCTGTTTCTCTCTATGCACTTCTTTCTTCTGTTTCTCTCTATACTTCTTTCTATCTGTTTCTCTCTATGCACTTCTTTCTATCTGTTTCTCTCTATGCACTTCTTTCTATCTGTTTCTCTCTATGCACTTCTTTCTATCTGTTTCTCTCTATGCACTTCTTTCTATCTTTTCAACTGTTTCTTTTTATTTATCTATCTCTCCAACTGTTTCTATCTCTCCAACTGTTTCTATCTCTCCATCTACCTCACTCCTCCTATTTCCCTCCTATCTATCTCACTCCTCCTATTTCCCTCCTATCTATCTCACTCCTCCTATTTCCCTCCTATCTATCTATCTATCTCACTCCTTTTTGTCTGTTTCTTTCAATCTATGTATCTGACTATATCTATCTCACTCCTGTTATCTATCTCCTCTTATTACACTCGTATACATCCTATCACCTCAGTTTCCTTTTATGTTTCTCTCATTCTCTTCATTTCTCGATCTCAAATTTTGTCTTTGTCTCTTTCTATTGTCTCCTATCTATCATGTGTGTGCATATATATATATATAAAATCTGTTCCTATCTATCTTTTAATCTGTCTTGGTCTTCTCCTATCTCAACTCTTATCGTTATCACTATAATGTTTTGTTTCTGAACAAATCTGATTATTAAAATTCTTCAAATCATTTTTTTTTTTTTAAATCTTACAACAAAATTTAGAAATAAGGGATATTCAAACTTCATGTATAAACAATTCATTATTTAAGTGAACCAAAATCTTCATTTAAAAAAAAACAAAAACAAATAAAAGAACTATAAACTATGCTGATGTTTTAGGGTCAATTTTTCCAATAATTGTTTCTGAATTCCCAAAGATATATCCACTCATATTTTTAGATAGATTTTGATTCTGAAAAGATTAGTAAACAGTTGTGACAAAGCTGATGAGACATTTAATCAGTTTGTGGAGAAGAAAGTAGAGAATGCAAGACATTTCAGTTAATTTCCATTATAATCACCAAAAGCCAACTGGAATGAAAATGTTTCATTATGGAATGAAATTGACTGATTATTTTCAAAATGACAATAAAAGTTTGCACTTGAATACCACTTAGGAGTTATCGACAATGTAAGTTTGAACTCATTCCTGTCGTGGCAACAGAATTGCCACCATGACTGGCTTTGTTTACATACGTTTGCCTCAAGTAGTCATGCACGGAAGCTTTACTTGTCTTGATTACTGCGCAATGCATGAAGTTTAAAATGAATGTGCAAAATTTTATAAGTAACCCAACAGAAAAAGCTTCACTATTCCAAATATATCAGCAAAAATGAAAAATAAAATAAAAATTACGTGGCAGAAAAAAAAAAAAAAAAAATTTTTTTTTTTTTTTTTTTTCAATGATGTTTTTTTAAAATTGTGTCATGATAGTTTCCTTAAAATCCAACAATTATTTGATTTTTGCAAGAATTTCCAAAACAATGAAAAAAAAATAATGCATGTTCTATTGTCTGAAGAATATTTTTCCATTGCTTTTCTAAATAATTTAAATGTCTTAAGTTAATCAAAATTAAAACTGAAAGAATACTTAAGTCACTATAATTATTTCTTTTTTTTTGGGGGGGGGGTTCACCCATGACATATTTATAAAAGCTTTCAATTGTCTTTCTAAATAATTTTAACCAATTTAAAAAAAGAATTTATTATTTGTTAAAGCTTCACATTTTTACAAAAGACGGAACTGTTTGGTTAACTAATTTAGTCAAAATTTAATTGGAAAAAGGAATTTATACCAATTTAAAAAAGAAAAATTCATTTAAAGCTTCATTTAAAAAAAAAAAAAATTTGCTCAGTAGTCATGATGAGTAAAAAGGCCGTTAACTAAGTAAGCTTCTGCACCTTACTACTCAAGGCAAACGTATGTAAAAAAAAAAAAAAAAAAAATGCCAACAATGGTGGCTGGAGTGTAGAGCCAGTACAAAAAAGGTACATTATCGATAACTCCTAAATGGTAATTGAGCAAAAAAATTTTATTCTTATTTTCAAAATAATCAGGCAATTTCATACCATAATGGAACATTTTTATTACAGTTGGCTTTTGGGGATTATAATGCAAATTAACCAAAATATCTTTTCTTTATTGCCTTATACAAGGCCCGAAAGCCACTTGAGGTAGGGGGCTACTAACAATTAACTCTAGACTTGAACAGGTTAAGATTGTAGTGATCTGGGAAACGACCCCTATCAGATCCTTTATATGTATGTATGTATGCCAGTCTATTCCTATGTATCCCATTCTGGTCCTATCTAGCTATCTGTCTTTCTGCCTATGTCTCGATCTATCTATGCCAGTCTACTCCTATCTATCTATCTATCTATATATATATATATATATATAAAAAAAAAAAATAGGTTGGTGTAACCAACAGACAACTTGCCAGAAGATCTAACATTTCTGACAAAAAAAAAAAAATCACAAACAAGAAAAAAAAAAAGAAAGACCAAAAAGCAAAAATGCTTTTCAACATCAACACTTAACAATTGACAGCCCAAGTGATTACTTGAGTTTCATGCTCTCACGATCGTCAGACAACTAGAATTATATCTACACACACACAAATGCCCTGGGCACAAATCATAGAAGACAACTTGTCTAAAATATTGTTCAAATATTCTATTTAGAAATGCATTGTTTTGTTGAAGAAGAAAAAAAATTGAATTCCAGCAACTTGGGAGTTGTCAGGTCATGAACAAAAATTTTCCAAGAAAATGACTCCTTGGTTTCTTCTGGAGAGATATTAATGATGAAGCTTATGCCACAAGACTCACCATGTTTGTACAATCATAGACTGATAGATTGGGTGGAGAGACAGTGTTGAATGGCCACTGGATTCAGCAAATTTAATAGTCCTTGAATTTCTTCATAATGGGACTACATTAAACATATAAGACAATTAAAGACCATTATATTATGAAATTTAATGCATAACAAAATTTCTGACGTTATGAATTCCTATTCAAGAGAATTTGTAACACTTTCATGAATACATTAAATGATATTCTCTGTGTGTGTGTGTATTCTATGCCTTGCTTTTACGTGTATATTTTTTGAATGCTTAAATCATTTATACATACGTGTTATGTTCTTTTTTTTTTGTTGTTGTTGTTGGAATTTTGCAAAAGCTACATGGCATAGTGCAGAGCTGGTACAAGGATCACGCCTCCCCCCCAACTAATCTGATACCCCCCCTCCACAAATCTATGATACGCCTCCAGTCTACTACATCTCAATTTTCATAAAGAAGTGGTCGACTCTCCTATCGTGAATAATAAATGAGGGTCAGCATTAGATGGTGCCTTTCGTTTTAAACTTATGCATGTTAGCAGGGGCTATTGTGGAGAAAATCAGGTAAGGGAAAGGCATATTTCATTTGTGCTTTCTTATATATTATGTGATACTAGCCCAGCCTTGCTGTGGTCAACAAAGCTACACTGACAGATGACATTTGTTAAAGCAGAGCTTGACAGAGCTGATCTACTGTCTTCTTTAGATGGTGCCTTTCATTTTACACTTATGCATGCTAGCAGGGGCTATTGTGGAGAAAATCAGGTAAAGGAAAGACATATTTCATTTGTGCTTTATTAAGTGTGATACTAGCCCAGCCTTGTTGCGGTTGACAAAGCCACACTGACGGATGAAATTTGTTAAAACAGGATTTTGATGGCGTCTCTGCTTCACTCCTTTCGGTTTGATGCTTGTATTTATATTTGTATTTCATATTTGTATTGATAAAAAATCCAAATTTTATTGAAACTTAATCATGTATGATACCATCCTATATATGTGAAGAATTCAACTAGAAAATCTGAGGATAGATACAATGTATCTAAATACAAATTAGACACCCACCATAATATGTAATTCCATCTTAAATAAATCAACCTTTTAATAACTGATGCCTTGGAATTTGCTTTCAGGGTCATGGTTTTTATGCAGGAAGCAAAAAGGACAAATAAAAAAAATATCATCTCCAGATCTTAGTGTCTCACTCCAGCTCAGAATCTATGATACAGGGCTCCACACTCTACTACATCTCAATTTTCACAAAAATAGTAGTCACATAAAATACAAAGTTTATTGTAACTTAATTACCATATACTTCCGCATATAATACAACCTTTAAATCTTAAAAATGTACCTCAAAATTTGGGAGCTCATCTTATACAACAGTTAAAAAAAGACTTAAATCCTATGTTGTATCAGCATTGGTAAGTAGGCTAGTATGCTTGTGCCGTGGAACGAATCATAAGAATGAAATTATTTTCATAAAGATTCATGTTAATGCTTTATATTATTTAATTCCTCTTGATTTGGTAACGAAAAACAAACAACCTTTGTAATAACATCAGCTTTATTTTAGACTCAGGAATCATTATGATATGCCTAACTGATACTGATGGTGTAGACTAGTTTTGTGATGTTAACAAATAATCATTGCCACTTTTGAGAGTATTAGAATAGTCTCATCAAAAGTTATCTCTTGGTTTTTTTGGCAAAATATAATTTACATATTTTTGATGTTCCTCAGGGGACAATTTCCTTAATAATAACCAAACTGTCTTTGCATCATTCCAATGCGAACTATCAGGTCATCCCATAAGTTCTGTCCGAATTTTAACTTTTTGTTAAAATGAACAAAATTTAAAGAGTATTTTATAATGTCTAATGGAGCTGAACATTATTTTTATGTTTAGATGCATTTAAACTGATCAAATTTTATTTCAGAGAACAATAAAATTAAATTTTGTTTGATTAAAACCCTGCTAACATGGAAGTACCCAAGAATCATTTGAGGCACATAATGCTTTATGAGTTCAAGAAAGGAAACTCAGCAGCCGAAGCGGCTAGAAACATTCACTCAGTTTATGGAGAGGAATGTGTGAATGAAAGAACTTGCAGAAGATGGTTTGCAAAATTCAGAGGTGGAGATTTCACCCTTGAAGATGAAGATCGAACCGGACGTCCAGTTGAGTTTGATGAAAAGCTTCTTGAAGCAGCCCTTGAAGAAAATCCTGCTTTATCAGTTGAGGAATTGGCAGTGGTTCTCAGTTCAAACCATACAACTGTTCATCGTCATCTTCAACAACTTAGAGAAGTTCCTAAACTTGGAAAATGGGTGCCTCATGAATTGTCTGAAAACAACCTCAAATCCCGAGTTGACATCTGCTCTTCTCTCCATTCTCGCCAACTTGTTTCACCTTTTTTGGATAGACTTATGACTGGTGACGAAAAATGGATCTTTTATCGAAATGTTAAGCATCGTAGACAGTGACTTGGTAAGGGGAAAGACCCCAGTCACAGCCGAGAAGGGAACTTCATGGGCAAAGGGTTCTTCTTTCAATCTGGTGGGATCACCAAGGAATAATCCACTTTGAATTCTTACCACCTAATGCAGCAATTAATGCTCAAATATACTGTCAGCAATTAGAGCGTTTGAACCAAGCTTTGAGGAAAAAAAAGACCTGCTCTAGTGAATCGAAAAGAGGTGATGTTTCATCAGGACAATGCGCGACCCCAAACAGCAAGAATCACGTCACAAAAGATCGAAGAACTTGGTTGGGAGAAAATTCCTCATCCACCTTATTCTCCCGAT